GAGACAATATTGATCCTCTTTTGAAAGAGTGTATCTGTGATGTGTAAGTGGGAATGTTTGTTTATACATTTATATAATTGTATAACACAATTATCTAGTTAAGAGTATATGAATTTACAGAAAAAGGTGTCCAGTCAATTCAGTCAATGTCTCTGTTAATCAGCTTTTGAAAGATTTCACATAGTATTTCACAGTGAAACAAGGTATGATGATACAAGGAAAGCATTCCTGGGGAGGTTTATGAACAGAAAGGTTTTAGCAGGTTGGAGAGCTTACCTGAAGATTCAATAAGAAGTTTAATATAAGCATGTATAAATTTTTTATGACTATCAAGAGTATATCAGTGTTTGTTCAGTGAGGGAAATCAGCTAATTGAAAACAGAATATTAAAGTCATGTAGCAGGATTCCTGTCAAATTATTAACCAAATCTACCTATGAATTTCTGCATGTCCTCACTCCTTTTTTAACTCATTTCCCCCGGGTTCAATATAAAATATCTTCTTCTTATGTTCAAGGTAATAATCCTTAATGTTATCAAGGATATTATTAAACTTTCCTTAATAATATTAATTATTATTGTATAATATCCCCCCAAAATATTTTATATTCATTAACTCAACTTTGTGATGTTCTCATTTAATAGCTAAGTCCAAACCCTGATGTAATAGGTCTTTAACTTTTTTTAGCTTTCATCCTTTTAAAAATATGTGTACCTTTATGCTTCCAGTCCTTGTAATATTCATTTAACCCAGGCTACTTAAGTAATATCATTTGCCATAATGTCTCTTGCAACCTCACAATCTCTAAATTCATCACACTTAGTTTTGTGTACACTGTATTGGTATTTCTGCTTGCATTTGATTACTGGAAGCCCTAAAGCCCACACTAGAAGTCTTAAAATTACCCTTGATTCATCTTGCCTCTGAGACACAGGTATAGCGCGATGATTTTGCTTTAAATCTAGTTTTACTGTACATCTTCCTCTTCATTTCCTTGCCCTTTAGTAACGGCCCCAATTATCTCTCACATGAACTCAATTTATCTCCCTGCCAATATTCTTGTGTCAACTCCCTTGTTCTCTGGATTACTTGCTTCTCAATGGCAGCTCCTCTTTGTCCCATAGAAGACTGGGTTTTTAATAACGAACTGATAGGCCTCCATGATCTACTGCCGCCTGCTTTTCAGCTGCACCTCCACCTAATCTCCAAACCCACCAACACACCATTACTCTAATTCCTGTTAAAAACAGTATATTTCAATCATAGTTAGGTGCTTGGATTTTTTTACACCTTATGTTCTTGTTTGATTTACAAGTGTTGCTCTGTCTGCAACATTTTATTCTTGCCCTATTCTCCTAAATACCAGTTTTTTTTTCATTCCGTTTGTCTTTAATACCAAGGAACTCTCCTGTCTTCAGCTGCATTAAGTGTCTATTCTCATAAAATAGTCTGTAAATATCTACAAAAACTGCATTTGTTTAAATGTTTGTGAATTCAGCTATTCCATAAGCAATAAAGGACTTTAGTAAAGTTGATTTTTTTGAGATGTTGAGATGAAACCCTAAGTGTCTTAAGGGAAATGATTCTGTGTTAGGCCTATTAGTAGCCCAAGCACAATATAGTGAAAAATACAAGGCCAGCACTTTGCATATACCTACTGAATAAATATATAAAATAAATGTAAGGCAATTTTGGAATGACAGTGAAAACTCTTCAGTTAAATTTCCAATATCTCAATAAGGTGATAAAAAATTGTCATAAATGATCACTAACAGGGGAAGTGGAAAGAGACACCCAGGTAAGTATTACAAAAGTATACTTCGGTCAGATGGTGCTTAAATTGATTGTGTACAGAGAGAGAGAAAGAAAAAAAAATACAGACAAAAGCACTGGTTTGCATTTGTCTGTTTTTGTGTGTGTATGATAACAAATATCTTCAAAATCTCTGCTTAAAAGTATACTTCATTTCATATACATGTTACATTGTCTGCACCTGAAGATCGTCTGTGACTCTGCTCCCCCTGTCTTTATCAAGGCGCCCAAGATGAAGAAGTCCCTTTTTGAGTCATGCTATTTTCATGGCAGAAGGAAAGAACAAGAGAATAAAAGAAAATATGTGATGTTTTCTTGAAGTCTGATTTCAGCCATGGTGTGTATTTTGTTTGCTTCTATGCTACGGGGTAGAGCAAGTCACATGATCAACTGGGTGAAAATGCATAACCCTTCCATTGGAGGCACCATGCTTCACATATCAAAGGCACTCATGTGTAACCTTCCGTGAGGGAGGGGAAGAATATTTGTGAAAAGCAATACGCAGGCACTGAAAAATACATTAAGAAAGTCATAAGGAAGGTTAAAAAAATAAGTAATAATCCTTAACATTTATTATTACTGGTACTACAGAGGAAGCCAGCAAGAATATCTTTCAAATAATTGTTTAAAAAAAGAGTAAGTATTGGCAGGATAGAAAAAACCTCAAGATTTAAAAGGAGCCAGTAAGCTGGGTGAGAGTCAATAACTGAATTAATATGATTTTTCTGGCTTAAATCAAGGCAAAATGTGAGAGAAAGCACAGGTGTCTGACTGCATTAGTCAATGCTTTCCCTCAGATGTGTCCAACTGCACCATCCAGAGAAGAAATCAGTTGATACCTGATTTTTTGAACACTATTATTTTAAATGAAAGAGATTCCAGGAATTTTAAGCTATGAGAATTTGTGATTCTAAAGCTAAAAATGCAACTAATTATCAAAGTCCAAGCAAAGAAGGTCATATTAGAATCTATGGTTGATTCTGTTAGAGGGAAGTTGGACACAGAGGAGAAGGATTTGCCTTTTGGAGGGTCAGGGTGACAGAGACAAAACAGGAATTATTTGCATAATTGATCAGAATGGCCCATAAAAACAGATTCCTGTATTTGTCTCCTTATAAATCCTGAAATATGTATAGAAATATAGACCTAAATATTCCAGTTTAAATGCAGACCATGATGGATCTGAAGATTCACACGTTGTTCCTTAAAAGAATATTCATACCTGAATAACCATTCCTTTAAAATGAATGTACATAAACACTCACAGATAATCTAGAAGGGAAATATAATATAACATCTTATAAATGTATTAAAGAAAGTATTAGGTTGGTGCAAAAGCAATTGTGGTGTTTGCCACTGAAAGTAATGATGAAAACTGCAAATATTTTGCACCAACCTAATATTAAAGTAAAAACTACAATAGCAGAATGAATAACAAAGGGTTACCATGCCTGCTGGATCAATTTCATTTTAATATCATAATTGAATTATTGTTTTGGTGTAATTATTTGTATATACAATATTAGGAAATAGTTATATACTGTTTCCTACCAATGTTAAAGAATTTTACATGTATTAATTTTTATTATAATTCCCTTTTTCATAAGTACACACTGAACACAAAGACTGCTCATGATGAAATACACTTAAATATGACACCATAAATCTTTTTGGATACAAAGTATGGTAGACAATGTGGTAAGTAACAAATTAAATAGCCTCTATATATGACCCTTGTTTATTGTACATAATAAAGAGAAAAAAAGAGCTATATATAGATATAAATATAGGTATAGATACAGACACCTCCATATTTAAACCTATCTGTTATGCACTGAAATCTTCCTCCTGCACTGAAGGGAAACTCCTCCACTGACTATGGCCCCCTTAATAAATATCGGTCTCTGTACTCCTAAAAAAAAGCCATTGAAAAATGCTAGATGTCCTCTAAGGACCTGCTTTCCCTATGACTGACATCTAATGGCAGAGTGGTTAGGGAAGGGATGCATCATAATGGGTTTTCTATGCCATGAAAAGCTATTTGATTTTGTCTTGAAGGTAATGAGAAGTACCGAAGAATTATTACAGTTGAATGTCTTCCTGGAGAGAAAGGTAGAATTGAGGGATTAAGTATAGAGAAAGCCAGTTGTATGAATTCAAGAAAAAAAATTAGAAAGATCAGCACTCTCATGGAAAACAAGATGATAGAGAAAATAAGAGTATGCTTGAGAGATGTTAAAATACACAATGGATATGTCTTGATAACAGACTAAACTGTATGATAGGGTTTGGTTCTGTGTCTTCAAACAAAATCTCATCCCACGTTGTATTAATAATTCCCAGGTATCCAGGGAGGGACCTGGTGGGAGGTGACTGGATGATAGAGGTGGTTTCCTCTGTGCTGTTATTGTGACAGTGAGGGAGTTCTCATGAAGGCTGATGGTTTTAAGTGTGGTATTTCCTCACTCTTTCTCACACACTCTCCCTCCTGCCCCGTAAGTTATACTGTTGCTTCTTTTTTACCTTCTGCCATTCCTCTAAGTGTCCTGAGGCCTCACCAGTCATCTGGAACTCTGAGTCAATTAAATCTCCTTTCTCTATAAATTAGTCTCAGGTATTTTTTATAGCAGTGAGAAAATGGACTAATACAACAGATATCTAGGATAACTGAAACGTATTTTCGAGCTCCACAGAATGTCATATTAACACAGGCAGGAACTATCGTAGGAGAAGCAAGTTTGGAGAAAGAGATTTCATAAAATCTGTCATTTGTGTCCATTAATACATGTAAATATAACCTTAAAATTTTAATTATTAAATTTCAGAAAAATGTAAATAGTGCAGAATACATAAATTTAAGCAACAAGTAATTTAAAAGTAACATTTAGTATAATACTGTACTGTGTTTGATATTCTTTCAACAACTACAATTCCAGCAAAAAACAATTACTCACATATAGTCTATTTGAAAAGAGTTATGAGAATAACAATGTAAAATAAGTCATGGATCCTGCCTTGAGGCTATAACACAATGTTACAGATGCCATAATAAAGGTGGAAACATTTCATCCTGGTATAGAAGAGGTTTATTCTAGAAGACTTGTATTTTGAGTTTACATGGTTGCCATTTAATAAAAAATATTGCTAAAATGAAACCATAAAATATATATAAATTATTTACTGCTTACCATTAACAATAACAATGATATCACGGAAGTCAATTTCTCCCCTGGCCTCCACTCTTCCTTCACATCTGTATATTCCTTCATCACTTTTATTGATGTTGAGAATCTGCAAATTATTGTTTGCTAACATAGCGAACCGATCTGGAAAGTAAGCAAAGGGGAGAAAATGATATCAGTAATCAAAGGCAAAGTCCAGAGTGCTCTAAATTGTTAAAAGTTAAAATATGGAACTGTCTGACACTATCAAGCTTTTCATCAGCAAACAAATTCAAATTTGAAAGTAAAATGTAATTTCATGACTTCAGTTTTTCCACTCTACACTGCTTTGTTACACCTTTTTTGTCTAAAAAAAAATTAAATATACATTGAAGATTTTATATCCACATAAAATAGTTAGGCTCTTATTCCCCCTTGGTGTGTTGGATGCAGAAATGATACACAAAGGAACAATGCAGGGAGATTAGATATCACATATGTGCAAACGTTTGACTGCAAATATATGGCAACATGGGTTGAAAAAGGCTAGAAAATATATTGAACATCCTTCTTCATACAATAATTAAACTAAACATTTTGCATCTTCGAGGAGGCAACTAAATGATATAATATTATTCAAGTGATATAAAGGATATAAAATAATTACATCTGAAATGTATGTAAGGGATTGAGATTTTTCTGGCTAACAAGATAATCTGTATTAGGAATAAATAGATTTTGTTATTTTATTTCAAGATTCCATTTTTCATGTGTTTGCACATGTATATATCCAAAAATAACCTGGTATACAGTGTGCATTAACTGATTGTGTAATCACTACAGTAAGCTGTGATGCCTAAGCAGCATCTCAGCCTGACATTATTTTTCATGTCTGGCCTGATTTATGAGCATCACAATCTTGCTGCCATGCTAAAACCTTTTCTCTCCTTATCATTCAAAGAACGCTTTTACGTATAGTCCAATTTGGAAACTCTTTGTACAGGCTCTATCTTAAATCTCCTTAATTAACACATCCATAGATCTCATTGACTATTATCTGTTTGTTGGATACTGTATATAAGACACTTTGATGAATAAGAGACAGATAGCCTGTATCTCTTTTGGTCTTTTGATTGGGTAGAAATGTGATTATTTTAAGGTACCCAGCCTCTAAGATATCTACAGTCTATTGTTTATTCCTTGGGCCTGTTCCAGTGTTTACTGCTTTCCCCTTTGCCTTTTGGCTTGATAATGTCGTTAGGAAAACCACTGAAGCCCTATGTGAAAAAGGTAGAGTCTCCATCAGCCTGATTGTGGAAGGGATACAGGAGAATCCTGCCTCTACATCTACTGCCAGTTGGAATTTGCCTGAGTGAGCCATAAACTACTATGGTAGTAGGCTGCTCAGATTTGGGGGTTAATTTGTCATAGAAGTTCCTTAATGAAAAGGGAGAAGTTTGGGCTAGAAATAACAAATAGAAGAGTCATCAGAGCATAGATATTCATTAAACAGACAAGCTTGTGGTTGCTTTTTGTTGAAGAGATAAGTAATCAGGGGTGGAAATGCGCAGACTCAGAGGCTTCCTCAAAGTGAAAATAGTAATTCTAATGCTAGAGCCACATGATTTTCAGCCCATGAGGTGTAAACTTTTCCATAATGTTTACTTTTTCCTTAGGTTGAACCTAAGAAGAGAGATAAAAATATTTATTCAGATTCTTTCCCCTGATAAATTAAAGCACAACCATGAAATACCCTCATCAAAAGAAGATTGGGGTGAAAGAAAACCAATCCAAAATAAATTTTTAAAAATTATAAATGGGAAAAAATAAATAAAATGATCAACAAAACACACACACACACACACACACACACACACACACACACACACACAAAAACCAATCCACAAGAAGAAGTCTGAAAGGATGACTCATAAGTAGTCCTGCAATAACTAAAAACTTCTGAAACTTCATAATGTTTCAAAGTCAATTAAAAATCCTCTCTTAAGTATGCAGCCAGAAGTCTGGATGAGAGGCAATTATAAATAAATAAAATTTAAAATGGAAAGGAACACTATCATACTTAGATTATTGCATAACTGCATTTTCTAACTTGCTAAAATACCTATCATCCTTTTAGTGCTTTTATAGTGCTTTTTACTGATATTTCATTTGAACTAGGAAAAATATAAATAGTAAGGAGAAGTATTATTTTAATAAGGAAATGCTTTACATAAAAGAGCAATAATTAGAATCACAATACCTATGTTATGAGAACACATCAGCATTTTCTTCCATTGATATATTTGAATTTTCAATGGCTATTTTAATGAATTCTTTTTTTTTTTTTTTTTTTTTTTTTGCTTTATTTATTTATATTTTTCTCCATCTCCCTGTCACCTATATCTGGCATTTCTCCCCATGGTATCCCTCCCCAACCTCCCTACCCCCTGCTGTCCCTCCCCTATTGCACCCCAACAGACCCCACTGTGTGATGCTCCCCTCCCTGTGGTCATGTGTTCTCATTATTCAACACTCGCCGATGAGTGAGAATATGCAGTGTTTGATTTTCTGTTCTTGTAGAGTTTGCTCAAAATGATGGTATCCAGATTCAACCAAGTCCCTACATAGGACAGAAACCCATCATTTTTTATGGCTGCATAGTATTCCATTGTGTAGATGTGCCACATTTTTCTTGTCCAGTCTATCATTGATGGGCATTTGGGTTGGTTCCAGGTCTTTGCCATTATAAACAGTGCCACAATGAACATACATGTGCATGTGTTGTTTTAATAGAACAATATATAATCCTTTAGATATACACCAAGTAATGGGATTGCTCGGTCAAATGGAATTTCTATTTCTAGGTCCTTGAAAAATCACCTTACTTTCTTCCACAATGGTTGAACTAATTTACACTCCCACCAACAGTGTAAAAGTGTTCCTATTTCTCTACATCCTTTCCACCATCTGTTATCTCTGGATTTTTTAATGATCGCCATTCTAACTGGAGTGAGATGGTACCTCAACATGGTTTTGATTTGCATTTCTCTAATGCCCAGTGATGATGAGCATTTTTTCATATGTTTTTTGGCTTCATATTATTTCTACCAACTGAAAATTTAAAGCTTTAGAAAAGCATTAACCTGCTAAATCTAAATACATACTATTATATATGTTTATGTACATACAACATTTTCTATACAGAGAACTATCTGAAAATTGCATGTCAAATTCCAAACATGTTTGTGAGGCCCATGGATTATTGTTAGTAAACTATTATCAAAAGAAAGCCCATCATTAATAGATGTTTCCAGAAAATATTTGAAGAAGGCACAGCTTCAATCAGTGTCAAAGAACTATTTTATTTGAAATTTTATTTTAGATTATGTTTCTTTCAGTTATACAGAAATCCAATTTTCTATCAAAGTAAGAAAATAAGTGTAATCAGATAATGCCCAATAAAGAGTCTGCTTTATTTCCTTAACTTAGTTATTTCTAAGCCCTCTTCTTTCCTTATTCTGTGCCTACTCAATTATTGGTCTCATTCATCCACATGGTTTCAGTTACCATCTATATCTTAAGGGCTCACCATTTTTCTTCAGATCAGATGATTTCTGTGAGTTCCATAGCATTTTTAACAGTCTACTAGATGTACGTGCTTAGGAGGAATTAAAGTGCCTTGATCTCAGTATGTTTAAAATTTAGCTCAATCTCTACACCTGAAATTTATCATCTGGCATTCTCCAGTTCTGTCTTCACATACCTTTACATGGTACTAGTTGCCCAAGAAAAATTCCATAAGTGATGGAAATCTGCAGAAGGCAAATTCCATGAGTCATCTTTGACATCTTCATCTCCCTCAGGCTGCAGACCCAGTCAGACTCCATGTCTTATCACTTCTCTGTTATCATTATTTAATTTAAATCTCTTTCTCCCTTAGCAATATTTCCTTAGGACCTAAACTGGTTTTCAGTCTCAGGAGTTTTGCCTTGACTCCCATCTAATTTGTTCTCTTCACTGACATACAAATATTCTTCTCAAGTGCATATTAGGTTACGTTACTGGATTGATTAAATCTTCAATGATGCCCTCTTTGAATAAATAAACTCTGTAGCAGATGTTAAGTCTGTGTTAACTTGGCTTGACCTCCTTCTTCAGCTTCCTTTCTTATTAGTCCTTTATTTAAAAATCCTAGTTAGATTTTCCCATTTGTATAAATATTTAAATTGCAATTATTAATAAGTTCTAGTGATTATAAACTTATTCCAGTTTCAGAAATATGCTTTCATGCTGTATTTACCTCTGGGCCATTGCATATTGTCTTCCTTCTTCCTGAAAATTCCCCACCTAATTTGTTCTCTTCACTGAAATACAAATATTCTTCTCAAGTGCATATTAGTTTACATCATTGCAATGGTTAAATACCTTCAATGTCGCCCCCTTTGAATAAACTGCAAACTTGTAGCAGATGTCAAGGTTGTGTTGACTTGGCTTGACCTCCTTCTTCAGCTTCCTTTCTTATTAGTCCTTTATTTAAAAATCCTAGTTAGATTTTCCCGTTTGTATAAGTATTTAAGTTGCACTTATTAATAAGTTCTAGTAAAAATAAACTTATTCCAGTTTCAGAAATATGCTTTCATGCTGCCTTTCACCTCTGGGACATTGCATATGGTATTTCCTATTCCTGATAGTTCCCTACCAACATTTGCCTGGCTAATATGGGTGTATATTTAAAAGTAACCATTTTCTCTTAGCAGGCATCTTTGACACCCTCTCTTACCATAAGAAGTATACATTTATTTTCTTTATCATCCTCTATTACCATAATTTCATTATCACAGACTCAATATATCTTGTTCTCATACTGATTTACCTATTTATCTTTCCCTTTAGATTGCTGGTATTTTTGAAGGCAATAAACTTATCTTGCTTACCATGAATCTTAAACATCCAATACACCACAGGACAGATACTATGTATTCAATAATTGTTGAATTAATCTTTTATACTAGAAGTAGATTATATAAAAGTTGTATTGAACAAGATAATTTTAATCAGTTTGTTTCTTTGTTCACTTATTTTGTTTGTTTGTTTGTTTGTTTGTTGTGAGATGGAGTCTCACTCTGTTGCCAGGTTGGAGTGCAGTGGTGCGATCTGGGCTCACTGCAGCCTCTGCATCCCAGGTTCAAGCAATTCTCCTGCCTCAGCCTCCTGAGTAGCTAGGACTACAGGCACATGCCATCACGCCCAGCTAATTTTTGTATTTTTAGTAGAGATGGGGTTTCACCGTGTTAACCAGGATGGGCTCGATCTCTTGATGTCATGATCTGCCCTCCTCAGCCTCCCAAAGTGCTGGGATTACAGGTGTGAGCCACCACACCCAGACATTTAAATCAGTTTTTTAATGCAGAAGAAGTTTATTAATTAGGTGTTGTCCAAAGCATTTACAAAGTTTAAGAGATAATTTCCAAACTGGCTAGGGTTGAACGGATATCAGCAAATAGCATATCCCTCAATTAGGATGACACTAAAAGTCAGGATATTCAACTTGTATAAGCAAAATGTCACCTTTACTTTCACAACGCTTGAATACTTTATCATGTGAATCTCCTTTCCATGAGCAATATGAAAAATCTCCACTTCTATTCTTCAGGAAATGTAATTTTGAATATCTACCACACAGCTACAATCAAAAGCATAGCTAACAAGATAAGCATTTCTAAGCCTCCACTGTTTCCTCTGGAATATACATAGTTTACTTTTATATCAGATTAAGACAACAGAAAGCTATCTGGGTCCATGGCATTATTCCAAATGCCCATACATACACCTTTCATAACTGTAATCTTAATCTTATTTAATTAAGCTTTAATAAAGGGACTATATAAGGTATAAGCAGTGAATAATGTTATTTCATATAAATACATTATAAATGAACAAATTGTTCAGTAATGAGCTATGTGGTAAGTTTCTACAATATTACAAGGTTAGAAAAGTGTGTCCTTCATGATAATGTACTTGAATACTTTAAATCCTATAGTTAAAAATACTATCTTATTTATTTTATTTTTCTTTTCCACTTGCCACACAACTTAGTGTTCTGTTTCATATTAAACTATACCCATTTCTTCTGCACTGGATTTTCTGGTTCTAGATACAAACTAAATGCATGTAACTTTAGCAAAACTGATTCCAAGATTGAACAACTCAGTGAGAAGGAATGGAGGGATGTGTCCTTTATTGAGAATCTAACATACAGCCAAATATGTATCTCTATATATATATCCATATATATATTTGGAGACATATATATATATATATATATATATATATATATATATATATATATTTTTTTTTTTTTTTTTTTTTTTTTTTTTTTTTTTTGAGACAGAGTCTAGCTCTTGTTGCCCTCACGGGAGTACAATGACATGATCTCAGCACACCACAACCTCCGCCTCCCAAGTTCAAGTGATTTTCCTGCCTCAGCCTCCCGAGTAGCTGGGATTACAAGCATATACCACCATGCCTGGCTAATTTTCTATTTTTAGTAGAGATGGGGTTTCTCTATGTTGGTCAGGCCAGTCTCGAACTCCTGACTTCAGGTGATCCACCCGCCTTGGCCTTCCAAAGTGCTGCAATTACAGGCATGAGCCACTATACCTGGCCTTAGCCAAATATTTTATTCATTTAATTAACAAATGTAGTGTATATAATTCCCTGTATCCATGGATTCCACATCCATGGATTCAAACAACTGCTTATGAAAAATATTTTATTTAAAAACTCAATCTTTATTGAACATGTCGTACAGATTATTTCTTGTCATTATTTCCCAAATAATACTGTATAGCAACCATATACATAGCCTTTAGATTTTATTTGGTATTATGAAGACTCCAGATACAATTTAGGATACGGGAAAATGCATATGGGTCATATGCAAATACTATGCCTTTTTATATAAGAGACGTTGACATTGGTTTATTTTAGTGTCTGTGGGAGGTCCTGGAACAAATCACCCACAGATGTAAACAAATGATTGTATGCCTTAGGTCTCATTTATGACACAAAGCCATTGTTTTAATTAAAGAAATAATCTAAATTTTTTATAGCTAAAGAGTCAGATTTAGGCATAGAACAGTTAGAAAAGGTGTTCAAGGAATGGAGGAGAGCTAAATGGAACTTTGGTTTTACGTCATTCAGTCCTGGGATGTTGGGGAAATATGTATGAGCTGTAGCAAGCAAATATCACTCCTCCATCATCACTGCCCTTTGTCACCAGTCTTCACTTTGAGGTTTATGTTCTTCATGCCTTTTAAAAATATAATTTTACTTCAAAATATTCTATTAATAAAGATTTACAATAAACTTACACTTGAAGTTTAAGATCAGAGAATATGAAAATATTTAGGCATTGCCATTCTATCATTACAAAAGAACTACTTTTTCTTTATCATTGAGAAGAAAAGAGCTAAAAATACATCAAACCATCAAATCATTTCTTATGTGACTTATTAATACATTTTACAGAGTTATGCTGAAACAAAATGAGAGGAATTAAGGTGTTATTTCTCATTAACGTCTTATAATGGAAACTGACAATGATTGAATATGCTAAGCTTAGAAAAATTCTTTCGAAATTAAAAAAATGATCATTGAACATGATTATCATACATTCTCCCCACATATTCAAAAATAGATATGATCTTCTCTCCCTCCTTTATGCTGTAGAATCTTCATTCCCTTGGACACAAATCAGAATCATCGAAGATGGAAAATACTTTAAAAGATTCAATTATGTTGTACCTCTTTGCAATGCAGGTGCATTGAAAAATATTCTAAATTGAAAACGCTCCCTATGCATATGGTAAAGGAGCACAATGTAAGCAAATTACACTTTCAATTTCAGATGTCATATTATTCCAAAATTTCAGTCCGAATCAAAATCAGAAGACAATTTGAATGAATGTACTTTTCTATTGTCGACATGTATCTTCCCATAATATTTAGAACATGTAAATATCTTTAACAGCACAGCCTCAGAATAATAAACAGAATTCACATCAATACTAAGTTTACAGATAGTGATCTCATAGGATCATGCAGAAATTATATAGAGTTTGAATACAGCAGGATTTACTTCTTTATTTACTTAGCACTGTTTATAATACATTAACGTTTCCTTGACACTAGAGCAAGGGTCCGCAAACCTTTTCTGTAAATCTCCAGGTATTAAGGATCATATTTCTTTAGGCTAAACCAACTCTGCCACAGCTTCTCAACTCTGCCTCCAAAGCAGCCAAAGACAGTATGTGGCTAATGGGCATGACTGTGTTCTGATTACAACTTGTGGAAAAAGGGCATGGATTTGCCCTGAGATCCCTACACTGCTAAATCCTAGTCTAGAGCTTAAAGCTTCCCAAAATAGCTGTTGAAAATTTAGGGTCAAACATTCCAATTTCCACAATTAGACATATAGATTCAGATTTTTAAAAACTGCAATAGTATTAGAACATATAACTTAGGGAGTTACCAAAATACTAACTGTCGGAAATAGTGGTGACTTCCGCATTATGATACAACCAGCTGACAGCAGGCGCAGGTGAACTGCTAACTCGGCAAACGACTTCTGCATCTTCTCCTTGTTTGAATTCTTGTGGAGACACCACTTCTCTGAAAGTGAGTTTTTCTGTATCAACAAAAAGAAATCACAAATCACAAAAGTATTGTTGCCTATTTCTCCTAATAACATAATCCAAACTTTATTGATACTATAATAAAATAATTAGGCAAACCTAGATACTTTAAAATCTTAAACTAGATAACTGAATTCTTCTCCCTAATACCTTTCTATCTCACTGAGAATAAAATCCAAATATCTTTCAATGCCATAAAAGGTTCAATATAAACTGGAGTTTATCTCCACTACTCCAGTCCGAATTTTGTCTCTGTCTTCTTAGTCACTGTGCTCCAGGAAAACTGTGTTCTTTGAGGTTCTTTGAACATTCCAGGTTCATTCTCACCACTGGGCATTTGTACCGCTTCCAATTCATTCAGATTCTTATCCAACATACCTATACAAAATCGCAATATTGCTTTCCATTTTAAGGTTCCCTGTCTCTCTACCGCACATAATTTATTTTCTATAGAATTCCATAGCATGCTTATCTAGCATTTATCTATTTGTTTCAGCTTATTGTCTGTGTATCTCTGGCTGCAACTCAGAATTATAGTTGATATACCCCAATAAGTGTCTGGAATGAATGAATGAACATGAATATTTATGCTTGATGAGAAATTCTCATAGAAGTAATGCATTGTTCTTGCAATATCTTTTTTTTTTTTAACCTTTGTAAATGAAATGTCAGGGTTCTTCTTCTGCATCATTTAAAATAAAAAGTATTTCCACAAACTATATCAATAAAATGGCCATTTCAATTTAATTATTTGCTATTATGAAATAGATACTGCAGTGGTTTACATGAATTAGGAAAGTATCATTCCTCCAGAAGCTTAAAATCAAATAGGAGGAAAAAACTCCAAATCGGGATGCACAAGAGCAACAATGTACCCACAAAATGCTCTGGTCATCAAACAGGAAGCCCTACTGTGGGAAAGTTCTGACTTTGTTTCCCACATCCTATTTCTAAAATAATCAGACACAAAACTACAGATATGAAATGATGTATGGGCTTGCATTCCAAAAGTATATAGAATTTATCATTGGTAGAAATGCTAACTACATATAAATTGTAAAGTGTTACTCTAAGTACTTTCTGCAATATTATTTAAGGTAGTACTCAAATAAACTCCATATATGACATAGGTACCATTATTATCCTCATTTTATATGTGAGGAAACTAAAGACAGAGAGGTTACATGATTTGCTCAAGATCCCAAAAGTAATTGGGATAGATTGCTTTAAAACACAGGAGTCAACTGATTTCAAAGTTGCCAAACAGGTTAATGATTCCTAAATATGAGGAGGAGAAAGGAAGATAGAAATAATCTGAGGACATAAAATGAAGTGCAAATGTGGAAACCCTTGCTAATAAAAACACTTAGTGGTAAAGAATCCTGGCTCGATATTACAGTCTATGAGATTAGTTTCAACTTTCTCTCTGACTACTCCTGTTCACTGACCCTTCCCTAAATTCTCATTCTAAAATGGTCAGCGCTGTCATGCATTTTCATTTGTTCTAATCATGACCTTTTATTTTACAGTGAAAAATAACCATTGAATGAATATCATACCACTAAATAAACCACTATTCTCTATTTACCCCACAAATTCTTAATGGCTTTAGCAATGAAAACATTTTTATTAATAGTATTTAACAAACATAAACAATGTCATATATATATATTTATTAATACTTATTACCTGCTATCTATTTTATTCTAAGATGCACTCTGATAAAGCATAAATAAACTGGTATTTATTTTCAATGCACATATTTCTTAATGAGTGGTAAGTTTTAGTATTAAACATTTTATTTTGTTTAAATTTTTATAAGCAAATAAAATTTAATACACTAAACCATATAAATACATGACTTACGGTAAATTTCCAAAACTACCGTAGCTTCTTGTGTCTGTCCTTTGGCATCTGTTGCTTGACAACGATATATCCCTGCATCTTCTATATTTGCGTTGTAGATGGTTAACCGTGACCTAACACCTTCCTTTTGCACCACTACCCTCTGTGTTGAAATTATCTTCTCTCCTTGAGGATTATACCAATCTATACTTTCAGGTTCACCAATTGCTGCAAAGAGCCATGGAAAAGAAAGGTTTGAAAATATGTTATAAATGTTTGTTTAAACACTGGAATTTACTATTTAATAATTATATATATTTATTTACTATTTAATAAACATATATATATATATATGTTATTGCACTTTAGGTTCTGGGGTACATGTGCAGAACATGCAGGATTGTTACATAGGTACATACATGGCAATGTGGTTGCTGCCTCCATACCCCCGTCACCTTATGTGGTATTTCTCCCCATGTTATCCCTCCCTAATTTTAACAATTTAGGAAAAAAATGTATGTAAGAAACTGGAAATCTCAGAATCTGACAAAACTTAAAGTAAACATAAATGTTAGTGTAAATGTTCATCTTTGCTTATCCAACATGGAGGATTCCCTCTTGAGTAGGGAACACCTAAAAATTTCATAGCAAACTTCCTGTATAGTATTTATGCTATGATTGTTTAAATTTCCCCTTAGTAAACAATGTATTATTACATTTAAGTACTGAAACTGTCTTGGCCACTGGGCCAGACATAAATCCCACTTATACATAATATCTAAACAGAACCACAATTACTAATATGATTTCACTTGCTCAATTGCCTTTGTAGGGTCAGGAGATAACACTTACATCCTGAAAATGCCCAGTTTACAAAAATGTAAATCTTTCACAAAACAAAGTTTGGCCTTTGATAATACTAAATTTGGAATTAATTCTGTAGCTGCTAAACTTGAATAGATAGGGCCAATGACCATTTTTATAATGATGTCCTAATCTCTTTTCCCCAGTGAAATGAGTAGTTTCATTATTTTAATCTAAAACTGCTATTTAATCATATGATACTTACAATGCATCGAAATGATACTTACACTTCTAGATAATTACAACCAAATCATTACAGGGTAAATATTTATTTAAGTTTTCCAATTCAGAATTTAGGTTATTATCTTCTTCCAAAAAGCTTAAGATTTCTGTGTTTGCTTTTATGCACCAAAAGGATGCATTTCACCTAATTGCTTGAGATATCATTTATGGAAGCAGTATACACTATTAACTCAAAAGTATCGGTGGGGAAACGTATAAAGTCAACTAACATCTGCAGGACCTCTTTGAAGAAAATTATTCCTTCTCATTTTTCGTAAGAAATGGTTTTAGAAACAAATTATCCGCCTTTCTATAACAAATTAGACATGCTTGAGTAAAAGTATGAAAGAAAGTTTAGTGAATCTTAAATAGATCTTAGTTAAGTTATCTTCAGCTTTTTCTAAACAAATCATAAAACCATAGTTGTTACAAAGTAATGCATTTGCAGAGAGAGGGATGTGTTTTATTTAATTCCTCCCTCTATGGAGAAGTTATAAAATATAATTTAAATATTCATTTCTTTAAATTTGAATAATACAAAATATTATTTTACATAGTAAATTAAATAGGATATTCTGATAAATATTTTGGACCTTTTCATTCTTAATATGAAGGAGCATATCATTTTTATTGACACTTTATTGTGGATTCTCATAAATCAGTTATAATTATTTTCTTTCAGGCATCTCTAACAAATAATAATTTATATCAAAACTTTCCATATTGATAAGACTGGACTATTGTACAGATTATTATAAATAGCATTGAACTTTTTATTTTCCTAAAATGTAGTTATAACAATTAATTATCTGTATGACACAGTTCTTTAGCTCTTTGAGGATGTACCATCCCTTTAGTTCAAATTTATTTTATTTTAGATTCTGTATTTTTAAGGTGTCTGAAAATTTTAGAGGTGTATCTAGGTAGTCAGCATTATGGTAGAAAAATACATACAAGCATAGTGACTTGTATGGTTTTCCCATATCTTTATTTTTAGAATCTTGTTTTACTACTATATTTAATATAAATAAGACTACTTCCAACACTACAGGAAAGCTCTAGGTGATACATCTTTATATAAAAGAAAAAAAATGCTTACTCAGTTAACATTCTTATTAAGAGCAAAACTCATCACCAATTAAATGGTCTTAATTCATTTTAAAGTATGGCTTAATTAGAGTTATGTAATACGTACAAGCAATTAGTCTGTGCAATATATTTCATAGTGATAGATAAATACATAAAAATACTACACTTTCATTTTATTTTCAAAATTCATTTTTCAAACAATTTTATTATTCTGTCATTATGCAAAACAATTTAGTGTGTTTTAATTTATGAAGATATAAATAAAATATGGATGGGGATTAGAAACAGTGACCTATATGCTTGTGTCAAAGCTCTGCTGACATAATATGTAATGCTGAATCAATCTCTTCCCCACTCTCTGATTTTTTCATGTGTCAATATACAAATACATGTATTAACATATCTATCAATAACAACTTTAAGAAGGAAATTGTATAAAGAATTAAGGGCCCTATTTATGTTCTAATAAAATATTTTATACATATATACTCCAGATATAATTTATAAAATGTTATAACTCTACCTTTATTTTTATTAATTTGAATATTGATTTAAACAAATCATGTCATTCTCAAGATAATTTTTAGAATGCATTTTATGTTTCCAGTGTCTATTATAATCCAGTTTTAAATTGATTTAGTTAATCAAGATTAGAAACAATTCTAAAATAGTCTCATAACCACTTTTAGCACCAAGGTTTTACATTCTTTAAATATATCATATCTGAGTATAAAGACTTTTATTTGTATAAATGAACATACTGAATCTAAATAAATAATGGACTCATTTATCAGTTCTATAATATGCTTAATTAAACTTTGATGCTGAAATATTTAAAAGTCTTCAAAGAAAAACATATGTGTATTATTATACTGAATGAGGCCCATAAAATATGCCATAAGTATAATGGAATATGATTCTTTCAATTGTCTTAAAAGTCTGGCCAAAGCTTTCCTGATTAAAAAACTATCTAGAATATTAGAATAATTTGTGTCGTAATGTTTCCATTCAAGTATAACTATAGTGCAGTGTATCATATCAAATTTATTCATTGCATAGTTACAAAAACTGTTCAGTTATAATCTTTATATTTATCCTAATTTAACTGTTTATACTGAAATAATATTTAAAATTATTTATCAGGTATAATGCATGCATAAATTATTTTCAAAATAAATGATCTAGATTAGCAGTCAAATTAACAATTTGAATTAAATTAACAAAAATAAAATTTATATTATTTAATATGCAAGTTACAGTTATTAACACCTTTCCAAGCATTATAAACCCAATTATGGCCAGGCACAGTGGCTCACATCTGTAATCCCAGCACTTTGGGAGGCCAAGTTGGGTGGACTACTTGGGGTCAGGTGTTTGAGACCAGCCCAACCAACATAGTGAAATCCTGTCTCTACCTAAAAAACAAAAATGCAAAGATAAGCCAGGTGTGGTGGTGCACCCCTGTAGTCCCAGCTACTCAGGAGGCCGAGGCAGCAGAATGACTTGAACCCAGAAGGGGGAGGTTGCAGTTATCAGACATCACACCACTGCCCTCCAGCTTGGGCAACAGAGTGAGATCCCATCTCAAACAATCAAACAAATAAACAAAAAGCCAATGAGATGATGAGATGTAGAGTATTGAGTTTTTAACTAGCTAAGTTTACCCAATGTATTTTATTAATATTTTTAAGAGAAACCAAGTTATCTGAAGATATTTATAGAAATACGTACCTGTACATGTGAAGAATTTAGATTCACCCACACTAAGCTCTACTTTGCTAAGTGAAATTGTCACTTGAAGAAGAGCTGAAAAAAAAAATTGAGAAACAATTAATGGTGATTTTTAAACATGAAATCTAAGATTTTAATGCATGACGTCTAAACCACATGGTCCAAATGCTGATTATTTTCCCCAATTTTTATTACCTATAAAGAAAAATAAAAGTTTTGTAAAACATGATCTACAATTATACATTTTACTTTATTATGTATTTAATAATCAGACTAAATACAGCACTTATTTAAGCTGATAGTCTGAAATTCTGTTATTCAAGTAAGTGAACAAATTCACACTCAGACAATCTGTTCCTTATTTTGAGATTAGGTCTTATATGTACAACCACACTGGGCAATGACTAAGTTTGCCCAACAGTATAAATTCTCTACTATCATTAAAACAACAACTACACACACACACACACACACACACACACACACACACACACAAAGTTAACTACATTTTGACACCTATTGAAAAATGACTACGAAGGCAGGCATACACAGGAAAGAAAGCACTGCACAGAGTAAGATGAAGAAGCACTGATTTTCACGAGACCAATATATTAAGTGAAGGATCTAGGACAAAAAATACAGGAGATGCCTGATATTTTAAATAAGTTTGCTGTAAAATTTAATACCTAATGTAGATGATGGGATGATGAATACAGCAAACCACCATGGCAAATGTTTACCTATATAACAAACCTGCACGTTCTGAACATGTATCCCAAAAGTATAACGTTAAAAAAGAAAAATTATTCTTAATAACCCAGAAAAAAATAAATAAAATACTTGAATACCTAGAATTTTAGAAGATAAGCAAAGTTTTAATATGAATTGACATATTTCTAATAATATGGTAGAAAAGAAAACATGACCACTTCCCAAACTCAGTCTCACACCTTCCATGCACTCAAATATATGTAGTTGAGATTTTCATAAGGTTATAAAGCTGCAAAAGATAAATAAAGGAAGATCTGAAACCAGAGTACAAAACTGCACTGGGAATTTATCGATCATAGTAACTAAAATGCTTATTTCAGTGAAACACAGAGACAGGATCCATGTTTGCCCAGAACAACAGGGTGCTATAGAACACCAGGTAACTCTGAACTGGAATGAGATTTACCATCAAAGGAGGGTATAAAATCAACCAACCCAATGGTAAAGGGAAATGACAAGGAAACCTGCCTCCCCCAAGCTAGGGAAGGAAAGAATATTTCTCATCAGATTAACAAGAAGTTTTGCCATATCCCATGTTTGGGATTTTAATTATAAACGTGTTCTTAGGAAAATCCTAACCCGAGAAAAACTAAAAAAGTAGTCTCACAAGTAGGGCTGACAGTTAAGTGGCAAAAGCAATCACAAAAACCATTCAGAAGAACCATATCGCCAGCCCAGATTGCCCAATAATTTCATAAATGAATGAGACTTTCTTCAATCTAGAGTTATTTCTGACATTATAAAACACATGGCGAAATAAGGCAATGTAAGCGGGAGTCAGTTGAAACAGCAAATCAGAGAAATAAACCCATGAGATTTGAACTAACATAATTTTTAGACTAAGGATCTAACACAACTACATTGAAAGTGTTTAAAGAAATAAAATGTGTAATCAAGAACAGGAGGAAGGAACAAAATATTTATTGAAGAAAACCCAGGCAATTATGCTGTTTAAGCTCTTCAAAATATGTTTCCTCATACTTTCCATCTTAAATTGTAAAATTCCTTCCTCCTTTTCAGAAACCTCTCTAGGAAACTTGGGCTGGGACCATACGACTTTCCTAAGTCCTATTTTTATTCAGAATTCACCAGTACCCAGAGAATGATTGGGATGTTATAGAGGCTCAATAAGTGTTCGGATATGTCTAACATTTCAAAAAGAAAATAGCACAAGTCAGAAAATAAGAGAAGTAGGTAAGGGAAAAGGACAGTAAGATAAAGAAGCGTTGCCTATGTTTCTTATAGATAAGCTACTAAACAATGCCAAATGTTTGAAAATTCAGATGTATTTTTCCTTTAAATAAGTAACTAATTTTCTTTTTGAAGTTAGCTTAAGTGGAATGATGTCAACAGAGGCAAACTGCAAAATTCAAGGAATTTGCAAATGCCCTTAATAAAAATCTTGAATCTGAAGAGGTGTACGGAGTTACTGGAATCCACAATTCATGGCAGTGTATCATGGATATTATAAATTGGGAAGACTTGAGAATGCAGATAGAAGGGAAGGAAGCAGAAAATATATTACAGGTTTGAAAGAAAAGGGGAAATTATAATTATGTGTCTTCTCTTTTCTTTCTTCCCTTTATTTTCTTCTTTTATATCTTATTTCCCCTTAAACTGTACTTTCTCTAAACCTAATCTTGCAATCTTCAACCTGCAGTTAACATTAGCATACTTTAATTTCAAGTTTTCTATGTGCAAACCAAACACATTCCTCTAACATCAAAATTTGCTCACTGTTCACTATCCCATTTTTAGTCACCATCAGTTTCCAAGCATTATCAATATAATCTATTTGTATGCATTTTTAAAAATTTTTAAATACATGCGCTCATTAATTTTATTCCAATACAGTTCAATTGCCAGCATATTTCTTTTTCCCACTTTTGCCTCTTTAATCTCTTTTCCCTTTAATGTATTTCTTAATGTATAAACTGCATGCACATGTTTCTAAAACTATGTTTAATTTTACTCTTCTGCTCAAAAATCTTCAAAGTAGATTTAATTTGTCCCTTACCACACAAATTTTAATTGGGAGAAAACTTACTTTTCCAAGTTTATTGGCTGTTTATTTCCAACGCTTCTGCAGGTATGATCACCTAGGATTCACTCTTCCTCCTCTCCGTAACCGACTCACACTTGCTCACCATTGTGCATCATTTGCCCAAAATGTTTTTACTGTTTTTGTCCATTCTAATCTCTGTGTTTTTTTTTTTTTACAACTCCTCACGGCTTCCTACTTTCTATCTTCAAAGAAAACATAAAATATCATTAACTTTACTAAACAGTGTGTGATAGGTAAATATAAGTGAGAGCTCATTCATCAAATTTTTATTTCTCCTAATCTAATAATACATGAAAAATGGCAGAATAATTCAGACTTAACAACAGCTTATTTTGTGCTATGCACAGAACACCAACTGTATTAACAATATATATATATATATTTTTTTTTTTTTTTTTTTTTTTTTGAGACGGAATTTCACTCCTGTTACCCGGGCTGGAGTGCAATGGCCGGATCTCGGCTCACTGCAACTTCCGCCTCCTAGGTTTAGGCAATTCTCCTGCCTCAACCTCCCAAGTAGCTGGGATTACAGGCACACACCACCAAGTCCAGCTAAGTTTTTATATTTTTAGTAGAAACGGGGTTTTACCGCGTTGACCAGGATGGTCTTCATCTCTTGACCCCGTGATCCACCCGCCTCGGCCTCCCAAAGTGCTGGGATTACAGGCTTGAGCCACGGCGCCTGGCCTAACAATATATAATTTTAAAGTGACTTCATTTAAGGGTATCAGAGCAGCTAAGAAATGTATGCTAATTATTGCATAATGCCTACCACTGACCTTCTGAATAAATTTGCTTTTCTAAGGAAGGGTTTTATTAAAAAAAAAAATTGAAAGATGTCAGAATTTAAAAATTCAAATACAGTTCTGAAAATGTTGATACTAATTTGTTAATCTGTTGGAAAAGTAGCATAAATTCATTTTAATAAAATAAAATTGACTATGAAATTAATTAATTTATACTAAAACATCTGGTTAATTTTTCCTTCAGTACAAATTACTAATTCACATATTAATTAAGCCATATTACTAATGGACATTTTGGTGAATGGGCAAAATTATTTATTTTATTGCTATATATATTTAAAATATATAGAGAAAACATCAATCTCTACTTCACTACATTTCCCAAAGACCAGATTTGCTCTAATTGAACTACATATATACTTTAAAACGTTTGCATATTAGTAAAATCCTACAGAACTAAAATTTAAGGTCATGTCTTTATCATTGCTCTAGCGGTTGATTTTTGAACCAAATCAAAATAATATAGGTGATGAGTTTATCACCTACAGCAGTTAGAAAAAAACTAAATGGTTTCCCAATGTCAAAAAGTTATGTTTGCAGAAAATTGGACAAAATAAACATTTTATAGCTATCAACAAATATTGTCACAAATTCTTACTTAAAGTAAGGAAAAGTTATAAACCCAAGGACTGAAAAGTAAATGCATGATGAATATATGTCTTTTGTAAATAATTCCCAAAGAATTGCCATGTAATAACCATCTTAAAAGTAGAGTTAGGTAAATTCAAAACTACATACTATACTTATAAGTAATTATTAACTATATGTATTTTGCAAATCCCCCTTGTAAATACTATCACACTCAAAAATAGTAAGAAATTCTTTTTAATGTCAAGGAGTTTATGATGTATTTGGGAGGACTTTGGGGCTACATAAAATTACGTAAAATAAAATAAGATGGAGTGTACCCATTTTGGCCATTGTAAAATTTATGATCAAGAAGGCTTTATAGGGGACAATAAAACATAAAAATATTTTTTTAATGGCATAGATAATGTTATAAAAATGGAAAAAGAGTAAGGGCATTCCACCTTGGGAAAGGCAAAAGTGTTCAAGGAACATTTAGGAAATTATAGATGAGGTTCATCTCATCTGGAATATTGTTGAGATATTGGAAAAATGTTTGAAAAACAATCAGGAGAATACCAACAGCCTTAAATTTCTGTCCATTAATTACTTATAAATAAATACTTACCTAATAAAATTTGCATTTAGAAAGATTGGTTGCAAAGTAAAATTACTGACAAATTGAAGGAAGATAAAAACATGAAGATATGTTGTGATAAATATATGAGTTGACTGTGGCAAAGAATATGAAAAGGTAGAGAATAGATGTAACAAAAGATTCAAGTTATGTTACATCTGTGATCAATTAAAACATTAGTGATAAAGGAGAATAGCCAAAGACGTTAAGATTTTCTACCTTGGTTGGC